GTGTTATTCTTATTTTGCCCTCCACAGTTGTCACAGGTAATCTTGAGGTTCTTCTCACCTCTGTTACGTCCAATAAGTGTGTCATAGGCCAAACTTAGAGTTGTATTCGCACCCTTTGCTACTCCCACAGGGAACTCTCCTTCATCTACAAGGTAATTTGTTTGGTGAGATTGAGGCTGATTACCAGTGTCATTAATTCCGAAGATACTGACTGAGCGCACACTCTTAAAGTACAAAGGACCGATTTGTTGCGGAGAATACGGTACTGGAACACTCTGCGCCCAATCGTAACAAAAAAATGAGCAATAGCTAGCATTATCCACATTTTAGAAACATGACTGAGTTATACCGATACACTTTTCTCAAAACAGCTTGAAGAGACATCATAAAACTCTTACCATCAACAGTATTTGGGGTAGGTCTTTCTTTATTAGCAAGTGGTGAATGAATATTAATATTAGTATGGGAAGCGTTTTCTTTTGCTTTTTTAATGTTATCGTTGTAATATTCGCGTGTTCGAGTTTAGCGATTCTTGTATGACTAGCATATTCAACTAGTAACTCTTCTTTATCTTCAGACCTATTGGTATGACCAATTTTCCATCTTAATGTTTCGCAAACATTGCATAAATCTGACTTGGGAGTCATAAACTTGATATGAGGGGTGAGCGATTTCCACAAACGAACAAAGGAGGACCGACTGATTTGATCATTATTTTTGTTCATTGATTTCATAGCTTGTTCGTATTTATGGAAAACGGAAGTATAGTTTTCATCTGTAGGTAAGTAAATCAATGCCTGATCATCCTTTTCTAGATGGCTACCGGGTCTTGGAAGCCCATTGATCTCAGCATAATTAAGGATAAAAGATGAAACTTCTTTGGCATTATCGTGAGTAATGGTTACTTTACTCGATCGCTGAGGCGGGCGTTTAATGTTACCATGTACTCTCATTGTTGGTCCATATTCCTCTAGTTGTCGCTTAATCGCATCAAGTTTATTTCTACCAACCCCTACCAGTTTTAGATAGACTGTCATACAGAGAGCAATTTGTCCATTAAAACAGTATCTAAAGAAATCGCGTGAACGATGCCCATCCTTTTTTATATTTCCATCACATTGGAACGCCAATATTTGTCCCATTAATACTGCATCTAATTCTTCTCTACCCAAAGCACGAAATTGGAGATGACGTTCAAAGAACCGTTTAAATCCCACG